TGAAAAGAAAAGTGGAGAAAGTCAGGTTTTATTTGAAACAGAAATATCACGGAAGCTCTTTGATACCCTTAATGAAGATCTCTTCCAGAAGATACTCATCCCCATTCAGCAAGTATTAAAAGAAGGCCACCTGGAAAAGACTGAGATTGATGAGGTGGTTTTAGTTGGGGGCTCTACTCGTATTCCTCGAATCCGCCAAGTCATTCAGGAGTTCTTTGGAAAGGATCCCAACACGTCTGTAGACCCTGACCTAGCAGTGGTAACGGGAGTGGCTATCCAAGCAGGGATTGATGGAGGCTCTTGGCCTCTCCAAGTTAGTGCTTTAGAAATTCCCAATAAGCATTTACAAAAAACTAACTTCAACTGAATTCTGGAGGAATGATGATAATTTGTGATCTTGTCTGATGATCTTTTCCCCTTTATCAGACTACTTCCTCCAAAAAAGAAAGTCTCTATCTAAAATATCTCACAGATTTACCTACATTTAGATGTAGGAAAATTTTACATAGCATTTTATTTTAGGATTATATGTGACCAGATTGATCCTATTTGATTTTGGAGAGATCCCATTCTAACAAATACTTCTGAAATGAAAGAATTGAGGTAAAACTCTCTTATAAGAGTATAAGTGACTATATTTCCTGGATTCTGGAGGTAGGTAACCATAGGCACTTAACATATTCTGTAAACATTAAATAGTGCCAATTATGAGATTCCCAGTTCTTACTAAATTGTTTTAGCAGGAACTGGTAATTTCCTTACTTGGTTATCACATGTAACTATTAATTTGAACTCTACTTGAAGGACAGTATTGGTGTCAGGTATTTACATTGGCTGGGAGATAGCCGTATTATTAATATAAGCTGCATACATAATATTTGATAACTGCCACATTATCTGACAAATTTTACTTTTCACAGATTTAGTGTCCTATTATGTGTCATATTCTCATAATCTACATTCTCTCGGTTTTTTTATGTGTTTAATAAATCAGTTTATTTTCTTTCTAAAACAGGTACAGATTTATTTAAATGTTTCTATACCAGATAGTAGAAATACCTAATTTATATTCTAGTTCCGTCATCTCTTATGTATCATTCTGTGAATTTCTATGATTTTGTTGGTTAGAAAATAGGAAATTATTAATTGCATTTTTAAAATATTTTAATGTGACAATAAAGCCACCATTACTATCTCGTTTTTTGTTATCCAAGACCTTTTCAGACATTGCTAAACAGCATTAATTACCTACTGTAATGGTTTCACATTTTTGTTTTCTTTGTTTATATTTTCAGTGAACCCTAGGGAATGTAGCATGCATTTGAGCTATCAAATGGTATTTGATTCTGTTTCACTGAAATTTTTTCTCATATTTAGTTTTAAATAAGGAAAATGTGTTCGATTGTAAAAACCCTATTGTTTTCTATTATTTTTAAATAGTTACACTTGGACTATTTTCAGCCATCAGGTTAGTATGCAATGAGAACAAAATGTTTGTCAATACTAGAAGTAACATGGGAAAGGTGCCGTGGGAAGGTTTCCATAAATCAACATTTGAGTTGTATGTTTTGTTTTTTTGTTAGTTTATTTCCTTAAAAGCCACAGGGACCAAGGAAGAAAATATAGCAGTTTGATTTCTACGATACTCATTTTATTCGAAGATATATTTATATATTTTTTTTCCTTAATAGAAGAATGCTTCATATTATTCAAAAATTTTATCCTGATCAACATTTTTGTTAATATAAAGGATATTTTCTTTATCCATTGTTGAATTTAAAAGGTGTTGAATTTCCAATCACTAAAAAGGGGATCACTAAGCAAATTTATTTCAACAACATCAAAACTTTTCAGCTTCTCAGCAAAAAAAGCTGAATGTTAATATTTTTTGATTAAAAAAATGTTTCTTACCAGTGAAATTGCTGTTAACACACAAATTTCAATCAAATACTTTTGTGTAGAGAAAATGTTTGTAGTAGGTAAATAGAAAAATATAAAATGTGCATTGATATGTTTTATTTTAGAACTAATGAAGAAATGCCAAAGATGAATCCTACACTGCAGTATGAAAATATTCCAAATCCTCTCTTGGACTTTATATAAATCTTTAATAGATTTTAACACTGAAAAAATCTTTTTATGAAGGTCTTTAAAAGTGTTCAATTTATCTCCACATATAGTATCAGCTTTAACCTAAACCATTTTAAATTTTTTTAAAAAAAGCTTGAATTTCTCAAATATTTGAGATAGTTCAAGACAACCTAGTAATGTGTTAACAATTTTTAAAGGAAACAATTTACAAAACAAGGCAGACAGCTAATCTCATACTAAGCTAATTCTCATATTGGAATTTAAATAATTTGACTCTATCTGAGAAACAGAATGGCAGTGTTGGAATTTGGGGGCAGTAGTTTAGCGTATTCTCTAGTATAGTTACACCTTTAACAAAATGAAGGAATGTCTGTTTTCAATCATATTTTACGGGGCTATATATAGTCTTGAAATCAATGTAGTGCATTTATTTAGAAGGTAAGAATGCATCCTGAAAGGGATCATTTATGAATAACAATCCGAAGTCATTTTTCATAAGACAAACAGTATACTTTAGTTGTACATTTAGCTAGTATTTTTTGAAGTATATAACTTAAAATATTAAGTGTCTTGTGTGAATAGAACATGTAAATGAGTAACTTATTTTGTATTAGGAATGTTTTGGTGTACTGTTTCCACTCAAACCACTGACTGAACAGATAACTACTGTGTGTAACATGGACTAAATATTACAATTACTGTGCATAAAAGATTGTGCCTCTTAAATTTGTGTGTATACAGGTAATTCATGTTTTAGTGTAAATAAATAACCATTTTGCAGTTTGTTTTTTAAATTGTGTACTTTGTTTTCCATTCAGGACTAGGCTGGAGTACATTTTTAAGGTATGTAAATAAGAAAGGAAGGATGAAGCTAATTTGATGCTTATGGCACTTGACCTCAATAGCTATAGCCTCATTCCAGAAATGTACATTTCCCTGCTTCTTGTCTCTGAGATTGCTTACATACTTTCCACTTACTTTCCTAATTTAGAAGAGATAGTTATTATATGATGTGAACACTATCTCTAGAATTCTGAATCCCATTTCATGGCTCTGACCATAATGGAGCCAAGAGCTAAACTAAACTAAGCTAATCTAGCTAGTTAATAAATAATCCTGCATACCAGGCTAATGTAATCCTTTGGTCAATGGTTAATACTTTATACTTTCTAATAAAGTATTAGTTTTTGGACCAAAAAACTCAATATAATTGTTTTTGCTAAAAGGAACATTTTATTAGCGTAGTCTTTTAAGGTGAACCCCTAGATAAAGATGGTGGACTTGACCCTCTTGCAAGGACTCAAATATATAAGGAAATATAGTGACACTTCCATATTTATTTTATTTAACAAATACACAGTTCCTTATTGAGGTAGGCAGCTTCTAATGTGGCCCTCAATGATCCTTACCTCGTGGTATTCACTTCCTTGTATAATCCTCTTCAATTTGGGCGAGATTTAATGACTTTTAAATGACTTTTAATGATTAAATGACTCCTACTGAACAGAATATGGCAGACATGCTGGGATGTCACTTCTAAAGTTAGGTTTAAAAAAGACAAGCTTCTGTCTTGCATGTGCCCTCTTGCTTGCTGGCTCCCTCTCTTGGAGCCCAGCTGCCACATAAAGAAGACCAGGCTATATTATGCTGGAAAATACAGGTGAAGAAAAAGGTCTCCAGAAGAGGGGAGGCCACATGGAGGCAAACAG